AACAATTTTGTTCCAACTCGAAACCAATTTATTTAATCTAATATCCATACAAAAATATAATTTACATCAATTAAGAATTACATACAATATCTATGAAAAGATAGCACAAGTCATATCAGCTGTACACTAAATTCTTTGATAAAACATGCGCCACATACTGATTTGATATTATCGTACATCAATTTGTTGTTTACCTATAACTAATTAATTTTAATTTATGAAACTCTTTTACATGCATACATATACTCGTACATATGTGCATATGCATATGTATGTGAAGTCCAAATAGCAGTTTTGTTTATGCAATTTACTCCGGAAAAAATATGCTTCATATATGTATGTATRTACATATGTAAGTACATGCATAYAAATTGAAAACTTGCTTTCATTTGGAACTACACGTGCTACTTACTTCTAATTTGTATATTTTGCAACCATTAAATAACTTAATTATTTAACGCACTACGAAACACTCAGTATTATTGATAACTTAACCGTAAACAAAACACCAGGCGAATATGAAGAAAAWCAAACAGCTGATTTTACTTATCATCAATGTGTTGCAGAACACTATGGAATTGAAATGCTATTAGAACCGGAATTGAAAACATGTGTATGCACAGCTTTCCGCTCCTTAGTGTATTTGAAAAAACAACTACACATAYAATATGTACAACATCAATATATATATATATATTTATAAATTATGTTTCCACAAATAGACCGAATTTGGTCTTAACTTTACATGCTTAAAGATAATGAGAGTTCCAATTAGTTTATTTTTGTATAACCTCCAAGATTGAGCTTCATGGAAATGCTGCATGATTTCCCCTTAACGGTAAGTCCGAGTAATTGCATTGAAATTACGACTTTCATATTATATATATTGGTGTTATATTCGTTCCATACCATACAAGAACGTTGCTGGTTAATATTTACATATAAATTTTTTGGTTTTACAAATATAAATTATGTTACTTTTATACTTTAATAATAATAATGTTTTACAAAAATAATAAATCTTCATAAACACCCAGTGTCTTGTTCCTTTGCATACCGTATAAAAAGTGTATTGAATTTTCGCAATAACAGACCGCGGTAACAGCGGTTTATCAATTAGTTATTTACTTCAAAGTTTGCCAACATTGTAAGCAAAAGGTGCAAAATCCTAGCTGAAAATGTCTTCATTAGGAGATTCGGTTGGTTATCTAATTTTTGGCAATCCAATTAGCCAAGCGCTATTATCAACTGCGGCGGGTGTGATTAAAAGCACAGTAAGTTTTACAAGACATTGTTTTTCCCCCCTCTTTACTATTTACCATTTCAATGCTTAGGAAGCGCTTTTGCCACGTAAATTGCCGGCACCCAAGGCAACTTTATCTGCGCCTCCACCGCCACCTGTGCGCTTACCATTGTGGGAGTTAGCTGGCAGGCAATACAACTTCGTACGTCTAGCAGGTTTATTTGGTGCAAGTGCTGTGATAATGGGTGCCTATGGCAAACATATTTTTGCAAAATTTCCCAATTCTGAAGATAAAATAGAGGCTAAGACGGTTTTTGAAACAGCGAATCGTTTCCATTTTCTTCATTCATTTGCACTTTTAGCGATGCCGCTGGTGCGCAAACCGTTATTGGTAAGTTCATCATACTGTTTCAATAATCATCAAGTTTCTTAGATTGACAACTTTTGCATTATTTTGTTGGCTTTTAGTTTTATTATTGTAATATGTGTGTAAATGGATGGATCTACTACTACTAAGTAGAAATTTTGTAAARCTAACAAAACTAACTTTTACTCATACTAAGAACAACTAAAATCTATTTTTATTGACACTTAAAGAAAATTCTGTTTTTCATTGCGAAATATAAAAAATACGGCAATGTCAATTACTACTCTAGAGCGTGTCGGAAAAAGTTGAATTGCGGGGAGCCTCATAACTCATTGCCAGATCATCTGCAACAAGAAAAAACCAAATTTATSGTTAGATAATCGCTTTTTGCCCAAACATTTTAAAGAAAATATGTATTTTTTTCGGAAAAAAAAGACGTTGTGGGGGAACACTTTAAAGTTTTAAAACTTATGAAAACGGGCATAAAATAAGTATAAAAATCCTCATAACTTCGCCAATATTGCTCCAATCGACTTAATCGATTTTCCGTCAATCTTTTTGAGATATGATGCATTTATTTAGGACATTTCAAAACCTTTACTTCTCCTTAATCAAAATTTAGCCGAATTTAAAAACATACCCACACCACTGTTCACAAAGACTGCATTTATATGTAAATATTATATTTTATTGTCTCTTAAAAACACTTTATTTCCAGCAATTTTCTATGTGATTACTTTAGATTTATAAAAGTTATACATGTAAACGTTGCAAAGTATTCAATTTTTTCCAAACACGTTTATTTAAAAAGTGCGGAAGAACATGCTTTTAAATTAAACACTTTTATTTATATTTCCTCTTGTTGTTGTAATATATTTAATATTTCATTATTTTTGCATAAATTCAATGTATTGTTGTGCTACGTATTATTTTCTGTAACACTGCACATTTATACTATTTGAGCATTTCGCCATAAGTTCGTATTAAAGCTTGAGTTCATGTTTATATTTAATTTGTGGAAACAAATTTTTCACCACTTGCAGCTGAAATTTCAATTATAAACAAATGTACCATTCAAATATTAAGCGATTTTAAAAAGAATTTAGAAATAAAAGTTTTGTAAGTTTAACACATCAGTTGCAAGAGGCGGTTTTTGTCATTTTGTTTTAGTGCTTAGGGTTTTTATGGTTTTACATAGCACATAGTGCCGCGCTCGTATTTATTACGTACAAAAATTATGAATATTTATAGGCGCTAGCTTGTAAATTTTTCTGTGAGTTAGTATACTCTTTAAAGTTTTTTTGAACGGATTTTCTTAACAACTTGCGTTACTCAGAGTGTGTGGAAAGTGATTATCAATATACAACTTTCCGGAAGTAATTATTGCTGGCAACAATAATTTATTTTCAGGTGAACAATATGTTAAAAAATTTTTTTGTCTATTACTTTTGAATTTTACTGCTGATTGTTTATTAGGTTATTTTATGAATTTAATATACAATTGATTTCTTATAAACTATTTTGGTAAATCACCTTGAATTTTTTCGAAACAACCTACTAAAATAAATGATGTTGAAACTGCCGAAGTCTAAAATCTTTAAAACTTATAATCATGCTGGGGTTTAAAGTATTTCAGTGTTGCTTTTAATGTTTTTATTTCAAGCAGCACTGTAGTTCTTGAATCCGTAAGAGCATATATTATATGTATAAGTATATGAATTAAAAGCAAGCTCTTCTCTATAATGATTTGTGGATTTGATATTAAAACACAGTTGAGTCTAAAGCTTAAGGTGTTGGTGAATTTCTATAATCACATAACTTTCAGTAATCCATACAAAATATATATATATATTTTTTTTTTGTTGTTATCTAGCATAAAGTATGATCTAGTAATTGACTTAATTCTTCTAAAGTTCGTTTTTTCTTATTTTTTTTCATTCTTATGAATAAATATTTGTATTAGTTGTGTTTATTAACCATTTTTCGTAATAATAAAAAATTATTATTTTTTGTTGTATTTATAACATAACCTGTTTCAAGCAGTATTACCTATAATTACCTACAAGCACAATAAAGAGCAACCTAATTAAATTACTKTAATAAGTTAATATGTGTGTGTGTATGTAAGTTTGTTAACAACCACTAAAGTTTTTGCAGGTGCAAAGCTATATTTGCCAACAATCAGCTGATTTTTACACTTACTGCTACTACTTAATAAATAAATATAAATATGATTATTTTATTTATTGGATACAAGAGTTGCCTAAGTGTTGTCATATACATATATATATATATATATATATTGTTTTAAATACAATATGTATTTTGCTGCTTGAACTTATTTTTGTACGACACCCGCTGGAGTTAGTCTTCGCTATGAGACTGTTTCTCTGAGTGCCCAAGTTAGTTTTTTTGTATATTTAGAATTTTATTTGGGTTCAAGCCCATATCTATATTCAAATAAATGCATTTGTTAAAATAAGCATTTTATATGCATATTATGTTTTGATTTTTAAGTCATTTCCTTTAATGAACTCAAAAAATAAATTTGAAACATAACTAATTTAGAGAAGTTACTCAATATAATTCAACTTAATATTGAAGAAAATTCTGTACAAAAATTGTGTTTTTTCAATTTTGATAGTTTTTTTATTTTTAATTTTATTTACTATTTTCACGCTTGGGATTATGCGGATCTGATTAGATATCTTATGTAAGGTTGATTTGTTGTATGGAAACACATCTTACGGAACTTCAGTACRATGTTTTGAGCTTTTTGAATAATTGCAAGAGCTAAACATTTTTTCAAAGGCTAAAAAAAAAGCTATGAAGTTGAAAACCATAATAAGGTTATAAATACATATTTTGGACAATGTGAATTTCATTGCATAACTTATGTAGTGTTAATTTACTGAGGGGTAGCACATTTTAATGGATTTTAACTGAAATTTTGTGCTTTTTGAATATTTTCAACAATAAACCAAAATTGTTTTTACAAAATTCAAGTACTGTGACGTTAAAAATAGCAGAAAACTTGCTTATCATTTAGCTCCAATGAAATAATTATTAATTATCTGAATTTTGTTTTAATTCCGTAAATTTCGAATTAAAGCACTTCCATCCAAAGCATTTCCACAACGGAATTGACCCGAATTTTATACAGCCAAGGACTGTTTTTTTCGGAGATCTAACCCCGTTACAAAAAAAAAAAAAAATAAACAATATGTAAGGGGGTAAATATCATTATTGTCAATTTGCGTTTTCTTTTACATAGAAAAATTGAATGTATAGTACTTCATTAGTAGCTCTTTAACTGCTATCAACACGACGTCATTAATATACACGTGTMCGTGTGTTATTTAAGCTTATATTTGTAGAAACAATTTAGTAATGCCAAAATGACATTTTCAAGAAAGTTTTCTTTTTATATTTTTCGCACATCTGCATTAATTAGTGTTGCTTAAATCATTACATATTGTATATAYKTAYRTATATTTATTTTGCYTTTACATAWMCATSTAATTWCCATTTAACAAGGAACTTGTCTTATTGTCCTTTCATTTGTGGTTTCATAATGCCATTMAAATTTTTGTAATAATTGTCATTCATTGCAGACCGGCTCCTTGATGACCGTGGGCACTATACTGTTTAGCAGTGTACTCTACCATCGCGCTTTGACTGGCGACCGAACTTACATACCGGTGGCAACATGTGGTGGCTTTTGCCTTATCGTGGCTTGGCTGTCGCTAATCTTTTAAGGCTATGTATTGTTGATTGATATCATTCATTTATTGTCGTTTGTTGCATATACGCTAGTATAAAAACAAAAAATGTATATTTACTTAACTATCCATGCAATTGTGAGCGATGAGAAATTTGCGTGAGCACAAAAACAAAGATAATTAATTACATATGGATATTGCATATCGTTTTGGCATTAATTGTTAAGATTTTCGAATAAATAATTTATTTATGGCAAAGTTCTTTAAATAAATTGTTTTAGTGTTATTAATTATTACTTCTAATTTATTTATTTATTTAACGCTCTAAATTTGGCATCGCGCACATTAGTATGGGTGCACAGCGTAAATTACATTTAATTAATGTTTTTTTTTTAGATTCTTTGAGATTATTATTTTTTATTTAATTCTTTSTTATCACTACATACATATAATTTCATTTGCAATTTAAATTAAGTAAATTTATTATAGCATTATATATTTATGTAYCTAYGTATATCTAACGTTTATAACTAGTACTGATATAATCAGTGTTTACTGGAAGAATCAATGTCGTTAATAGTTGTAAATTATTACTAAAGCTATGTATGTATGAATTTTAAATGCATACTCAAAACTACATAATTTTCATTGATTTGCGGCTGCGCACACATTACAATCTCTTTAACAGTAATAAATCTAAAATACAACATTATATAAAACAATGTATTTATTATTTTTGTACTATATGTATATGCGTTATATTACATACAAAAACATTTCTGATGCTATGATTTCATAAAAATTCTATATGAACAAACATATATTTGTGTGGATTTTTGTTCAATACACATGTTTCTTAAACTCTTAGATGACACAAAATGTTCTACGTTTGCTGTGTTGTTAAAATAAAGCTTCTGTCTACTACTGGTAAAAAACATTTAAAACCACAAAGTTTATGCCCTAATATTGTCAACGAGTTTCACAATTGGAACACATACGATATATGTTGGCTTTGAAGCTGTTTTTCGCTTCAAATAACTATGCACGCGCATAAGCGTTTACAATGCACAAAACAAAATTTTAATTCATCACAAGTCACTACTTCATTAAGTGGAAAAAAGAGCTTCTATAATTCTATCGTAAAGAGAGGCGCATACAAAATGTGTGTGTATGTGTAGTATATCTATAAACAAACATACATATATGTAAGTTAGTTTTTATGCGTATTAATTTTTTTTTCTGTCAGCCAAGCTAAACAATTTGTTACGATTAGAAAAAAAGCAAAATTGCTCAATTAAATTCTTTTACAATATACATAATTATGCCGCAAAGTTAGCTGCTGTATGTATTTATGTAGTTGTTTATATGTTAATAGTAAAGCTGTCTTACAGCGTTTCGACCTGAGCTATAAACTCATTATTGCACGCGCCCAACCATAGCGTGTGTAGTTCGCTATTTGTTGTTGTATGCTTCTTTATTGTCTCAGTTTGCATAGTGTTTTTGATTTAATTTCTTTTCAATCGTGATTATCTTTACTAAAGCAATTAGAATTACCATAAATTTTATTTTAATTTCTCACTTTTGTTTGTGGATATGTAGAATTTGCAAATTTCAGGTCAATTTTCACATTTCCATGCCGCRTATGGCACATAAAATTAGCATTCGTTTAGATATGTAGGTGTATATGTTACATTTTGCCACGTTCAACGCACACAGTTACTATAGACACGCAGACAAGCGCCTTGATTATTTTGCTAAACAATTATTTACCATACTAATTTAGTTATTTGTATTAAGTACTGTATAAAAATAAGCCTCGATATGATAATCTACGTGTTTCGCTCCCATTTCCACCGCCATTGTTCGGTTCCTGCTATCCGAGAAATTTGTGATGCGTCGCATCGGTGAGAGTTTTTTGTATACGCACATTTGCAGGATGATTTGATATCGGCTCTAGAAACTTAAGCAAATATTCTTTGAATACTTTCGGTACGGAGAAATGTCAAGAATCCTTTTTCGCGCGCAAATTCTCCTCATGCGCCTGTAAAAGAATAGAAATTGTGTGCGTGATAGTTGAGAGCTTTTACTTAATTTTAGTAAATTATAGCATATTTCAGAATTTATTGTCAKTATTACTCATTACGATATTATTTACATTTTGCTGAAAAAAACAAACAGCAAAAACGAAAACTTCAGTAATACCCTTCACAGATTTCACTGTTAATATGGTAGCTATATGCCAAATTTTTTCGGTCTCAACTCTTTCTTCTTTTCATTGGGTGTGTTTTTTACGTGACAGGTCCCAAACCTGGCTTTCATCTTCAAACGGATGTTTTTGGCTACCCAAAGGTAGAAAAAAGGTTCTGCRGAAGATTTTTAATCCCTTGCATATTGGCAACAGCGAATATCGGATTCGATGGAACGATGAACTGTATGAGTTATACGACGACATTGACATAGTTAAGCGACAACTGCTATGCTGGTGGCTCCAACAAATAAGTAGCTCCTTGAGAAGAAAACGTGTGCAAAMTTTCAGAGCGAAATCTTAGAAACTTAAGACAGACAGATAAACAGACAGACAACAACCGGAAAGTTTTAGGTGGGTACCAGCTAACGACAGCCTTACTCCACGGTACTCAAAAGTACAACGGATCAAATCAAAGCGTTGATCAGCGCCCTGAAAATGCCAGTTGCCAATTGGCAGTGTGGAATGSACACACTAACCATCTTGGTAGGGTTCGTACTATGGGTCCGGCACCCGGTTGCAATGCAACTCCACATCGAAATGACAAAATGCCAATTCTACCCGCATTTGGGTATAAACCACAACCACCACGRTACTCCCCGAGGGGCCAGTCCGCATGAGCATGTTGGAGTTACTCCAAGGGCTACTGCTCCCCATGGTACCAGAATTAAGTCTCCGGTCCGACTTCGTAGCCGAAACTACTACCAATTGAGCTTCCATACTGCTCCGGACTGGTGTAGAGTAAAAGGACAGACAGGGGACCAAGACAAATTCGACTCAGCACGCTGTTACAAACATTGTAGCAAACTTAAACTACATAGTAATGTGCGTGTTTCTAATCTAAGCGATAGTTTGCTAATATAAATAAACCTAAAGCTTACCTTTTGTGCCACAGTCAGCAGATTGTCGAAAGTGCTGTTACCCGCCTGCTTTACCATGCCGTAGAATATCTTTGTTTTGCTTTCAGTCAGCAATTCAAATGGTGAACCGAACTCCACCGCGCGTCCAGCATCCATGACCAGCACCTTATCCGAGTCCATGACCGTGTGCAAACGATGCGCAATTGTGAGAACCGTRCAATRTTTGAATTTACTTCTTATTGTCAATTGTATGAGTGCATCAGTCTGTGGATCCACATTTGCCGTTGCCTCGTCCAGCACGAGAATTTTATTTTCACGCAGTATAGCACGTGCTAGGCATACCAACTGTCGTTGACCGACACTGAAATTACCACCACCCTCGGAGATTTTACTCTGCAAGCCACTTGGCAACTCCGATACGACGCCTTTCAATTTAACCTAAAAATATATATATTAACCGATTATAAAAACCCAAGTATGGTATGTACTTCATAAGTTTTGTCTTACTTCATCGAGCGCCTCCCACAACTTGGCGTCAGAGTATTCTTCAAATGGATCGAGATTGTAACGCATTGTGCCCGAGAAGAGCACCGGCTCTTGTGGTATTATGGAGATTTTACTACGCAAGTCATGCAAACCCAAATCATTGGTATCTCTGGTGTCGATTATTATCGAACCATCATTGTATGACAAGCGGAACAGCGCATTGATGAGCGATGATTTGCCGGCGCCCGTGCGGCCCACAATGCCAACCTTTTCGCAGGATTGTATTTCAAGATTTAGAGATTTCAACACACGTTCCGACTTTGGATCAGGGAARTAACGCAAGCTGAGCTTATCAAATTTAATTTTACCATCTTCMGGCCATGTCTTCGGTGGTTTCTTACCAGGTCTACTCTCCAGTTCGCCTTCTGGTTCGATTTGATCGTATTCRACTACACGCTCAACACACGTCATATTGTTCTCCAACTCAGCTGACTGACGCATGCCCCACTGTACCATGCCGGTCAAGCCCATAGCTTGCGTTATGGCCAAGCCCACATCTCCGCTGTTCTTCGGTGGGAATACGAAAAAACTCAGTGCTGTGACAGCTATGTAGACGACACAGAAACAGTCGAGCCAGTAGCCAAAAGCACGAGCTGTKGTCAAAGACATGTAATAACCGGAACTGTGCATATCCTGATAATTATCAAATTCGTTTATTAAGGTTTTTTGAGCACCGAAGGCGCGTATTGTAGATAGGCCACTCAGTGAGGCGCCCAAGTGGGAGTAAATTGGTGAACGTGCTATATGAAGTGGAAGGAATRAGTAAAATGAATTATAATATCATATATATTAAATTCGATATATTTTCTAATCAACTTACTGACTGCTTCCAGACGTTTCACRTCCCTTGAGGTATTCAAATAAAATGCACGTAGAAAATAGAATATTATGCAAAGCACAACTGTGATTAGCAAGTTCCACAAATTCACAACCGTTATTACAACCACAATGCCCGCGCAGCCCAAAAAAATTTGTAGAACATCCATCAGCACCGATGGTAGAATTTCATCCACCTGACCCAAATCCTTTGAGAATCTATTCAATATACGGCCTGATGGATTTGTGTGAAAGAAGTACATGGAGGCGCGTGTGAGACCGCGGAACATGGCATTGTGTAAAGCAATCGAAGAGCGTTTCGCCATTGTGAAGAAAAGCAAACTGCGACTTAGTGAGAAAATAATAGTCGCCAAAATAATGGCSGAGAATATGTAAATGTCAGTGGGATCCGTTTCATTATTAATGCGTACATCGCGACCGTAGAGACGACCGATTATGCGAGCACCAAAATTTTTRGATTCTGTTTCTGTGCTACCCTCATTTTTGTTTACCCTGCAAGCAAAGAGAAATCACTATTAATGTTTCTCTTTAATATTACAACTTGCAAGTTGAACTCACCAGTAAGATAAGAAGTAGTCACTGCCAGATCCCAGAACCTGCGCAGCCACGCAAAAGAACATAGTTATTGTGAAGAGTAAGTAACCGCCACTTGCGGTGAAGTACCTTGTGTACAGTGACCAACCGATTTTACCCTCCTCACGGTTCTCCTGCACCTGCGTAGGCGCTTCACCTGCAGCTGACTCAGCTATGGAGCTCATKGACGAAATACTGTTCTGGCGTTGTCTGCTATTCTGACGTGACAKACTCTTCTTTTCAGCGTCGCCAGCAGCACCATCCGCATCGGCACTTAAATCGGGCGCCACCAACAATTTAGCAAAGTCCAGACCACTTCTACGCATCGACTCATAAGTACCTACTGCACTCAGTTTACCCTTATCCATTATAACAATA